CCCCATGTAGCTGAAACTTAGCTATATATGGATAGCTAACTTTTGGAGCAATATAACTAAAAAATTATCTGTACAACTAAAGACTTTCTACTTGAGCAAAAAGTTTAACTATATCGCTAATTTTTAGCTACATAGCTCCAAAATTTAGCTATCCATATATAGCTAATTTTTAGCTGCACAGGTGAGTCGTTTTTTTTCTCAGTGCAGAGGCGTGGTCGCGGAGGTCGGAGAGGACACGGGAGGGATTCAAGGATTGGAAATATTTTCTGGAAAAATTCGCAAACTTTTCAAAAAAAAAAAAAAAATAGGAGATTTATTTTTTTCCCTGAAAATTTTGATTGAATTTTACCTACTGAGAAAAAAATACAACTTCGTCAACAAAAATTTTCTCAAAGGTTTTTTTTTTCTGGACAGTTAAAACCCGCAGACGGGACCATAGGTAGTTTACCGTTTCGCTTTCGCTCTCTGTTCGCAGGAGAACGCGCGCCTGCTGTCCGGGCACGGCCACCCCCACGGCGGCCACGGCCACGGCCACAGCCACGGCCACTCTCACAGCGTGCCCCCCGGGCTGCCCGCCGGGCTGCCGCCCGTGCCGCCGCCGCCGCTGCCGAGGCCCAGCCCCGCACAGCGCGCCCGCATGCAGGCCCTCAACATCGACCGCTTCTCCAGGGTCTTCTTCCCGCTGCTCTTCTTCGTGCTCAACTGCACGTACTGGATCATGTTTGCGCGGTACCTATAGCGCGGCCGGCCTCCGATCAGCCGACGCCAAGTTAAAAAAATAAAATTAAAAAAAATAGTCAGGGCTAGAAATCTTTTCATGGATAATGGGTAATTGGTAGCAACAACTTGCAAATCTCTGGAATTGGCCACTGGTCTGGTGCCCTCTCCAGAGAAGGTAATAATTTGTCAACAGGTTCCGTCAAATAATCATCGTTCTGGATTGGTTCGTTTCTGAAATGTGTGAGGCGATTTATTTTCTAGCCAGTAGAATATCAAGTCATAGCAACTTTTGAAACCACAGTAAAACATATACTATCACGGCTATGTGAGTAAGAGTTTCCTTTTGCTCTGCAAATTCGCACACATTAGCTTACATATCCTCTCACATAACTTTTGAATTTTTGTAAATGTGACAACAAAGTGAGTCCTCACACTCACACATTATGACTGGCCTTCTACAAACTCTCACAATAATTTTTTTTTTCAATGGTCATTAGTTAGTTGTCTCTATTAACAGCTTTTCCCTTCCTGTATTGAGTTCTGTCCCAAAATATTGGCGCCTAGGAAACTTGAATTGTTAAGTGAAGAATCTCTTGCTCTTTTTTTGTCAAGCACATAAAATTTATCCCCCATTGTAAATCTAGAAGTAAAAGCCAAACCATTTACATGTTAAAGGTCATGATAGCACTCAGCCTGAAAAGCTCATGACACTGCTATAGCTAAATCTAACACTTTTAACTCATTCATTTATCACAATATGTTTTGATGCAATGCAACTGGAAAAAGAAAACCAAAACAAAGAGTGCAAGTAGCCCATCCTGCGTGTAGTTTACTATAGATCAGAATAAGTCAGGATATTGCACAAAAACAAATTGCTGTCTTGACTCCAATTTTTGACATCTGCATCATTTAACTAAAGAGGATTATGTTTGTAGATAATGTTATAGATGTGAACCATTACATATATATTATTAAATTTAATTAAACCTTTATGACAGTTCCATATTCAAATGTTTTCCTCAACATTTCAAGTGATTTGGACATTTCTCCATGTTTCAAAAAACACAACCATGAATATAATACAGCATGTATTTCACTCCGGATCATTAATTGTCAACAGTCACAACAAAATAAATACCCCAAGCAGGGTATGAAGTACAAAAACATTGTTACAATACATGTGTTTGCTTTATTAAAGTTTGAAAACACCTGCTTTCATCATGAAGACATCAGATAATTACTTATATGGCCAGAATGTCCCATTCAGGGTGGGATTTTCCTGCCATCAATTTGTTGGAATCCAGTCCAGCAAACCACAGTTGGCCAGATTCAAATTTGTTGCTGAAGAGTCCTGCTGTGACTAGGACACCCTGTAGTACATTTGATTGTCTAGATGAATACATTTGCAGTTAATTAATTTTTAAAAAATTATTAAGTACATTCACTCTCCAAGAGAACTAAAATCAAGTAAACACAGAAAAAAATCTTCAGAAAATATTTTTTCCTACATGTTTAAGTTGGTTTATTGTCAACACTTTGAATTTTTACAACAATTTTTAAGCATGAAGAGGATAATACCAATTGGTCATACTACACCCTTAACAGGTATGTTAGAAATATGATTAGTAAGACTGTTAATACTGGTACTCAAGGAACTTAACAGACACTGAGCACTGAGTACAGTACAATACAGGAAAGAAAACTGTTCTGGACTCAGGTCTTGTACAGAATACAATGGCATATAGTAGGACATAAAACATCCACAGTTGTTTGCAGTTTCTTGCTGTGAAGCATCATGAAACTACGTACACTTAAAAAAAGGTATACAGAAATATCAATAATCTTGGAGATAACACATGAATAGAGCAGCATTCTAAAGAAATACTTATAATTTGCCTGAAACTAGAGAAGTTTGTAAACTACAAATCAGATTAGTAAAAATAGTATGGCTTCTTCTGCACAATGGTAGAAAAAGAAACCTATATTTGTAACAATTTCAGAGAAGTTTGCAGTACACATTAGTATTAGGCCAGCTTGTCAGAAATTGGAGAAGATTTCTTGACTCCTAATGGACTTGGTGGAATACTGAAGATTTAAGCAAAGCAAATATTGATCAGTCAATTCATTCAGTCTATACACAAACATTTAGCTGCAAAGTGTGATATTGTAGCTTAAAGTTGTAATTCTCCACAATTTTATACAGTCTTTTTAAACAGAAGACTTATCTTGGATTATTCCATAACAATGCAACAGAAATATACTGCATATCTCAACACAATAGGTGATGTAGATAAAACATATTGTACTTTTTTACATACTAGAGTATGTATACACGCACACACACACACACACACACACACAAAATCCACACACACAAACAACTCACACACATACGCACATTATTTAGCTCTACATTGACATTAGATAGATACAAAATGTATGTACATATTTCAATGGTACAGACCTAGGAACATTGTCAGTGCTTTTTCTTAGTCAACCATTTCAGCCTGTTAAGGACCCCAACACTCAACATGATTTCACAGCGAGGTTATCTACATTCCCTACACAACTTATCACATAATATCACATTAATAAAATGGCTCAAGATTGCAGGTTTTAAGAAAAGTGCAGTATAAGAAAGGTTGTAGAATTTGAGCATTCCTGTTATTGGAGAAAGGAAATTGGTTGGTGAGTGAAAAGGAAATATTATTCTGCAATCTTTAGCCAAGATAAATAGAGACTGTATTCTTGAACACACCCACATTTGAAAAGAAAACATTAATAGTTTGTGATTTGAATCAAGAGAAGAAAAAGTTTTTCAAAGAAAAGGAATGCTCAAACCTATACTTCCTGTGGTGGAGGTGGAGGAGGGGGTCCTAAGGGTAGGCAATGGTAACTTGATGGCCGTGGAGCATGCACTGTGGCGGTCTGAGTACTCATACTGAGCCTATAGCACCTGTCGTGGTTTGTTCTCCGTTGACGATTGGGGTGTTTCACGCTAGCCACAAAAGGTGGTGCTTTTACAGGGGATCGTACAGGTCCCACTAATCTCTGGACGGCAGGGCTTGAACCTTCACCATCTGACGAGTCTCCCTCACCTTCATCTCCGATTTCTGATTCTTTAGTTTGAAAAGCAGTTTCTAAAAAGCAAACAATTATATTTTTTAAATACTTTTTCATTTAATAATTGGAAAGAAAGTAATTATTTTGATCTGTTAATCTGGCTTACCTGGAGGAGGTAAAAGATCCTCATGGCTACGGCTCCTCTTCGAATCTCCAGTGCCACTATCTTTGCTGCTGGAATGTTCAGAATCAGTGTCAATTTGATTGGCGATTTGGCCACCTGGATGGCCATACACCAGAAGTGGCATGGGGGAGTGGTCAGAAGTCATTTTCAAGTCAACAGCATGTGACATCCCAGCTCCAGAATTACCAGCTGAAGGCTGTGGAGCTCTGGTCATATGCTTGCGAGTTTGGTATATAATGATCACCCAAACAACAGATGTGCCCACGGCACAACATACCACAGCAATGACAATAATGCCAGCCATGTCATCATTGATTATTAATGAACCTGAGGCTAAAACAGAAAATGAAGAGTCAAGTTACCAAAGACATCAAGCAAAGAAAAAACAGAAGGCAGAACAGAAATGTCTCCATGAAATTTTACCAGGAATAATTGTGAGCTTGGAATAGCCCTTTTCATTCCCAAGAGGATTGGATAGTTCACACTCGTATCTACCAGCATCTTCTGGTTGAGTGTTCCGAATAATAAGAAGTTCATCTTCCGCAGTGAAATGATAACGTTCCGAGGGTCGGAGTTCAATCCCATCTTTAAACCATTTTAGGCGGGGCCGAGGTGACCCTGTTGATAAGCATTCCAGCACAACCGCCTGACCGACACGGACATCTTTGTTTTCCATAAGTTTAAGAAATGATGGAGTTTCTAAAGTATTAGAATAAGAAACAAAAATATTAAATTGAGAAGGTTACTATGGAAAAATGATTGGGAGTATGGCCTTTTACTTACCCAAAATTGTTAAAGAGGCATTAGTAACATTGACACCAGCTTCATTGTGAGCCATACAGCTGTAAACACCCATGTCAAAAGGTTTTACATTCACAATAAAAAACACATCATCATCTGGCATGACATGCATTCTGCGTTCACGAGCAGCTGGGAAGTCGTTTCCACCATCCTTTTGCCATGACATTTTTGGTTCAGGTAGCCCCTCAGCAGCACAAGGTAGTCGCGCAATACTACCAGTTTTTACTTGAAGGTCCTCCGGAATTTTTGTAAACTTTGGAAACACTATAAAATAATAATAAAAATAATTAGCACAAACAATTGTAAAATATAACTATGTAAAATAATTCAGGTTAGGTTTTCTTAACTAGAACTCACCTACAACTGTAACATTAGCTTTGCCAGAATGAGCAGAACCAAAACTATTGGAGGCAAAACACTGATAAATGCCAGCATCTTTAAGGGATGCATTGTATATATGAAGCTCAGATGTTTGTTCCATGGGATCACTTGTGATTCGGAAACTATATTTGATGGACATGCCCAATGCACTTTTCACTTCAACATTGTCTCTTTTCCAGCGAAAACTAATTTTTTCGTCGGAGGATGAATTTGCTCGGCACTGAAGAGTAAAGTTTGTACCAACCAAGACCATTTTTGATTTAGGTTCTTCAATTATATGTGGATTTGGAATTCCCTCTGGAATAAGAATTATTTGTTACTCATAAATGAAGAAAGTGCTGAAGAAACAAAATATCAAGATATAACAATTAAATACAAACCACAAGAGAAGTTTTCTGGAGCAATGTGCATTATAGATATTCCATGCAAGGGAAAGGGATAGTTACAGGTTGGATGAGTTTCCTTAGCAAATGGCTGCTGTTTGAGCCAAACTGGTAACCATTTCAAGGAACAGTCACACATAAGAGATGAAACATTAAGGGAAAGATGTACAAGATTTGGCATATGGATCCATGGATTTTCTTGAATGGACAATAAGGAGTTATTAGCCAAATTCAAAACTTTTAGGTTGTTGACACCATTAAATGCAAGATAGTTTATAGAACTGATTTGATTTTCAGCAAGGCTCAGAACTTCAAGTTTAGTTAGACTGTTGAATATGCCATTCATTTCTTCTCCAGCCCAAGACAGCTCGTTCCCATTCAGTTCCCTGGAAAATAAGCAATGAATGTGAGTTTTCATTCAATCACTTAACTAAGACAGAGATACTTAATAATACTTACAATTCCATTAGTTCAGGAGTGTGATTAAAAGACCCTTCCTCTATGTAGTGTATATGATTCACATTTAATCTCAACTTTTGAAGTTTGGAGAGGTGATTCAAAGAATTTTTTCCAATTGATTTTAATTGGTTGTGGGATAAATCAAGTTCTAAAAGGTTAGGATTGAAGCTCCAACACTCGTTATCCATCTCCTTTATATGATTATGGCTAAGATTTAGCAGATGCAATGATTCAAGTCCATATAACCATGATTTTGATATATTAGCAACATTATTATGGTCTAAGAGAAGAACGCTTATGTTCTTCAACCCCCAAAAAACACCATCTTCAAGGAGAGCAATATCATTTCGTCTTAAGCGCAATGAAGTTAGCTGTGATAAATCTTGAAACATAAGACTTTCTAGTTTGGTCAGTTGGTTTCGATTTAAATCCAGATTTTGTAATACTTTTAGGTGTTTTAGAGCATCATTTGAAATACTTTTCAACTTGTTTTTATTGATGCGTAAATCCTGCAACTTCACAAGACCTTCAAATTGTCCACCCTCCAACTTTTGAAGCAAATTGTTGTTCAAGTTCCTAACAGGTGAAGAAGAAGATTATAAAAAAGACATTAGTAAAATATAATTGAATTCTGTCCTAGAAAAAATAAAAAAGGAGAAATACTTACAGTTCTTTCAAATTTGATGTATTTGGGAAGGTAAATCCTGAGAGGTGTGAGATGTGATTGCTACTGAGATCAAGAGAAGTCAAGGCAGGAAATTGGTGAAGAGTCTGGCTGCCAGATTTTGTGATGTTGATTTCATTGTGCGACCTAAAAGGAACAAGTTAAAAATTACAGAACCAGAAGAAGATTTACAATTTTAAAAATACAGAAGATGAAAAGTTTACAGAAACTTACAGTATGACTGTTGATAGCCTGACAAGACTTGGCGGAAGATCAGGAATGTCAATAAAATTATTATGACTAAGTTTGCTGGAAAACAAAATCAGACAAATAAAAATTACAGCTCAAAAATCAACAAGGTAGAACATAATAATCAGAATCACTCTACAATCTTTCAATAGATTGTACTTACAGCTCAGTCAGTTCTACCAGATGGCTTAATGGTTTTAAACTATGGCCACGTAATTTGTTTGAGCTGAGATCACTGTAACAAAATGGAAATCAATGTCATTTAACTTTTCACAGTGGGTAGAAAACGTGAATGAAGCTAGAACCAAACAAAGACAACTATGGTTTTTGTTCTAAATTGATAAAAGACAATAGTATGACGACAATCATTGAATGGCAATAGTATACATGAGAATAACAATGGTTGAGGATGAATAAAAATTGTTTGCTGAACAAGGAACAGTACAACAGATAAGATCACACAGAGAAAAGCAAAGCAAGGGAATCATTTAACTGGAGGTACCGATAAAAAACGGAAATAGAAGAAAGATATGGATCTAATGAGAGGTTAAAGGACCCTGATTACTTACAGTATTCTGATCCACGTAGGGAGATCTGAAGGCACAGAAAGCGTCGAATTACCACAATCCATCGAATGACCTAGGCAGGAACATGGTTTGATGCAGATGTTACTATCTGCCTGGGTATTAAACACCGTTGAAATCAAAACAAAACAAAGAATGGGCCTAAGTACGGCCATCTTTGACGAAGACACCGCAGATGAACACATTTCACTAATCTTCACTCATGCTATTGCCTTCATTCGTCGAAAATCATGACGAAGATGATAGCTAGGAGTATTGTTAGACAAGCTCAATGACGCTTCAAATAAACAGAGGTAAACCATTCTGTAAAAGGACTTGCACCCAAGCCACCATCATGAGCTACCAAGAATTTCAATTCACACACACGCACGCACACACACACACACAAACACAACACACACACATACACACACACAAAAGCTGTGTGGAAAGTGATGAAAAGTTTAGGAAGGCTATGAGTTGGTCACGCTCTTTTGTTTTTGGGTCTTTCATTTGTTAACGCCAGCGCGAACGTTTGCTTTGCACGTTCACGAAGTGTCTTTGGTCACTGTTCTTACATCTGTGTTTGGTTTTGTGTATTGCGCTTGCACTAACAGTTGTATCCTTATGATCGAATGTATGCAAGATTATGAGCTAAAGCGAGGCTCTCTATTGTGAAATGCAACTTATTCCTCCTTGTATCGTTTTCCCAAGGAAAATCAGGTGAATGTAGTGAGGTTATGGTTTTAAAAACAGTACCCATTTTCTTTGAATAAATTGATATCTGACATGGTCAATATCTGTTATGTGAGTGACTTCGTTTTATCAGCTGTTGAGTTTTTCTTGCTTTTGGTTAATTTTTATTGTCAGCCTCAATTAGCAAATAGAACTTTCCAGACCATTCTGGTTTCTTGTGCATCTGCCCCATTAACAGTTTTGTAATTGTATAGAGAGCTCTACTTCGTATCTGCCAACATGAACCTGGAATTTAATTGTTTTTATCTTTACTTTTGTTTTGCCTCATTATAGCTGTGATGGAGCAGAGTGAAAATGCTCATTCTTATGAGAGTCAATCATCTCAAAGCTCGGAAGAACTACAGGATTTCTTCAGACCGCATCTTAATTCACATGACTGCTCAAGGAGTGATGCAAATGCTTGGGTGAATTTTAAAACGATTACCACATTTAATTCAGGTATATTCATCAAATTGTAATTAATTTTTGTTTACGGTGTTTTAAAACACCAGAATTGAATCATATTGACTCACTTTCAACACTTGCTTCATTTGGGTGATTTCTAAATAAAAGCTTGTTTTAGGAATTTCATCTTCTACTGACATCTGTGGGACAAGCTATTCTGAAAACCATGCATCTCACTCACCAAATCTCACCAAAGTTGAAGTTACTACTCAGGATAAGAAAATCCAAGAATCAAAGTCAAGCTGTAGCATGGATATTGATGAGCATTTTCATTTTAAGCACTCTCATTCATCTCAATTTGTTGAAAAGTCTATCCAACAAAACAATTCTTTGCTCTCGAGCAAAGAAGAAATCTTGAAATCCTGTATAAATAGATCTAGGAGAAAAAGTCACAGAAATAGTCTCTCGGAAGGCTCCAATCCATATGGCGTAGAGTGTGAGAGTGGGAAACCACGGAATGGAACTATGAGTGATGCTGGCAATAATTTAGCCAGTACCAGCCTAAGGTCATGTGCTCCCGGCCCAGTGCAAAGTCTGACTAGATTCTCTCCGACAAGCTTACTTGTAGAGTCCTTAATTGATCAACTGTGTAAACTCATGGAAAAAGATAGTGGAAAACAAAAGAAACTCTATCATGGTTAGTAATAAATTGCATTTATAAAATTTATTGTATGCATTTTTGTTCTTGACTGGTTTCTATGATTTTTTTATTGCAGTGATATGTGAAAGACTTCATCAGATGCAGCTCATTGATGATACTTACACAATTGAGGAATTTCAATTCATGCGCAGTCATTATCAGAAAGCTCTATACCAGCTTTTGGCCGTTGCCAAGTCATCTACACAGTCATGTGACTCAAAGACCATACTTCTTCCACTTCCAAGGTAAACATCAAATAGCTAATGAAAATGCTCTTTCTTAGCATTCTGAAGGAAAAAACAATTGTTTTGCTTTGCCATGTTTTCTCTCAGCTCCAACATGAATTTTGACATTAAAGTTCATTCTGAACAATTACTGGAGTGGTCTCGTTATCAACATGAATATCAAGAGTTGGAATACATTGCTAAAGGTGGTTTTGGCCATGTTTACAAGGTCAGGAATAAATTAGATGGTGGTGAATATGCAATCAAAAAAATATTTCTCAGGTAAAATATTATAAATAATGCTGTTTTTGGTATGTTGTGTATTTGTTATTTTTACCAGAAAATGATTATTAGTATTAAGTTTCATATTTGGTCAAAAATTTCAGATATCGCTATGTTCAAGGGTTTCTCAGAAGCTTAAAAGAAGTGAAAATGCTTGCTCGTCTTAATCATCCAAATATTGTTTCATACAAAGCAGCATGGCTTGAACCACTAGATGATGAGAAATATAAAGCTGAGATTCAGAAACCCTCGCAAAGCAGTTTATCTCAAGAAATCTCAGTTTCTATTGTGTCTGTCACAAAAAAGTCTAAGTAAGTGTTACTCTATTTTATTTTGTTATCCATCTTATTTATTGCATTACAGTATAAAAGTTAGTATTTTTCGCGTTCCAGGTTGCCTCTACCCCCTGCTCCCACTGATATGACAGAAGATTCTCTTGATATTGTATTTGAAGATTCTTCAGTCAAAGCTGGCAACAACTCTAAACTTGATACGCCAGAGAGTCAAGAAGAACCTAGCATAGTGTTTAAGGATTTCAAACTGAGTGATGAAAGTGAATCAAAAACTCGCCCACTTTCACACTCGCCTGGTGCAGCTGTCTCATCGAGAAGCCGTAGTGGAACTGACTCTTCCCAATGTAGCAACAGCGATGAGACTGATGAGGGATCAAGTAGCTCAGATGATGCATTTGTATACACTTTGCCCTTAAAGGCAAAACGCAGTAGAAGAAATAGTTCCACTTCAATTTTGGTACTGTCATTTTAAGGGCATTAATTTAAGCACAGTAATTTTTCTAATATCTTAAGTATTAAATTTTTGAAAAATTATGTTCCAGAAAAATTGGGCCACACTGTATGTTCAAATGCAACTTTGTGAGCGCAATTTAAGGCAGTGGCTAGATCTGCGAAATGTTTCCTTACCTGCTTATCCATTGGCACCAAACAATAGTAATGGAATTTTAGCTCTTAGCCTTTTCAAAAAGATAGTTCGCGGTGTGGATTACATTCACACGCAGGGCATTGTCCATCATGATATCAAGGTACGTAGTTATGATCTACCTTTGTTGGCATTACAGGGTGTCCCGTACACCCCATCCCTTAATTTGCTTCTTATTTTGAACCGCATGCAGGCGTGCGGCCGGACTTGCCTACCGTCGCTCACCATGGCGAGTAGGCAACCCGCCAACGCGTGTCAATGCCTTACAGCATAAGCAAAAAAAGTGCAGGGTCTATGGGACACCCTGTATATAAAAACTCAAAAATGTTTTGTGACTCTTTCATTGCAGCCCAGTAACATATTTGTGAATGAAAACTTGAAAGAAGTTCAGGTTGGTGACTTTGGCTTGTCATGCTGTATTTTAAGTAGAGTTGATAGCACTGGGGCTTTTGGGGAAAACCATGGCGAAGTGGGAACTCGCATGTATGCAGCTCCTGAGCAGTTACGAGGAAAATGTACTTCAAAGGTAAGTTGCAAGTTGTTCTTTAAATCAACTGTTTCCTTTTATCAATCACATATCATTTCCATAATATTTTGTTACTTTTCTGATTTTAGAGTGATTTGTATAGCTTGGGAATTGTGTTACTTGAGCTTCTTCAACCGTTTCACACTGACATGGAGAGGATGAAAGTTATTCAAGAGTTAAGAACTGGTCATTTACCACCAGAACTAACCACAACATGGCCCCATGCAGTTTGTATTTCCCTGAGTCTAATGTATAAATGTATTAGAAAGCACACATCATGTTATACTGGTAATTCTTTTTTCTTAATTCTTTCAGGCTAGACTTATCAGTGATTTATTGGTGACATCTCCCGCCTCAAGACCAACTGCAAATGAACTGCTGCAGCGAGTAGATGTTTTGATCCGTTCCAATACAGAGAGTGATTTTGTGTCCCAAATGGCCTCCAAAGATGAAACCATTCGCCTTCTAAAAGAAGCTGTTGCATCAAGGGACCAAGAAATAACAGAACTCCGACGCAGATTGTCAAGTTTTGAAAAGGATTAGGCAGTCCTGCAGTTCTTTCTTCTTTTAATATGCTCTTTTCCCATGCTAAAATCTTAATTGGTTCACAGTCACATCGAACTTATTAAAATGTATTTTGGGTGGTTGTAGTATTTATTATTGGATTGGAATTTTGATTGGAATTTTATAAGACCTCTGAGGATTCCTCTTGTCTTCTTAATTTTCTGTCTAGTCATAATTTGTATGACAGTATTGAATGCACATTGTGCACCATGTGGATGTAGAACATGCAGAGAATCTTTCATGATGTTTTGCTCACACTTTTAATGTCTTGGAAATTGTTGGCTGTGAAATTTTCTCCCTTTTAGTTTTTATTTTGTTGCTTTATGTTAATATCTTCATATCTCGCAAACAATGTCATGAAAATTTCATTAAGCATTTGGAAAGTTTAATTTTTTTTGTTTTGAATGTATCTATTGACAATCGAAAGTCACATTCCTTCATTTCCTTACATTGCTTAAGGACTTGTGGTAATTAGTTTATTATCTAACATTTTCTTACGATATTTCATTCAGGTTGTGTCTTGAATTCATGCCTTTGTTTTGTTTTTTAGTTAATTTATGTGTTTTAAAATTTGTCTTTTCCTATGTACTGCCTAAAATAATGAAGGAGAAATGCATTACACGTTCCTGAAATCTGAAATCATTTGTTTATTAATTCGTTTCTGAATTTTCCCACTTTTTGCTGAGAAACAACGAACAACTCCCGCCCTAAAATTCAAATTGTTTGCGGGTGCCAACACAACAATGTAAATTTGTAGGGTAGATTCTTCCTGGTTGGACCAAATTAGACAATAAAAAAGAGGACGTTACTAACTGCTATACAATGAAAAACACTTTTTTTAAAAATCAACAATAAAATACCATAAATTTATCAGTTTTCTTTCCTTATTATGATGTTTGCAAATTTTTAGCACTGGCAACATTGCAAATGAAAAAAAAGGAACAAGTACGACATTTGTCGTCAGCTTCAGTCGACATACATCGCCATCAGCTGCCGAGAGGAAAATGGCTGGTCCTCTAACTCGCCTAAATACCCTCTCCAAGGGGAATTTCGGTAAGATGATTTACTTCCTAACCAACTGCAATACTCTTAAATGTTAAGACAACCACAAAGTAGTCACATATCTTGAAAAACATCACTGTCAATGTCCTTGTTGTATCAAGACGGTATTATAACCTTAATTACGTAATTTCTCTAACTGTGCTTTTCTTGCCTAAAAGTAGTAAATCTTTGTGATATTTTACGGTTTTCTTATATTCAATGTCATTCTGTTGATGATGTTCATTGGGAACATGGGCTATGGGTAACACTGATTCATTGAAGACTTTAGGCTTAATATTGAAGTAAGTTAGGAAAGTTTATGTTGTTTTTTTGTTTGTGTTCTTTATAAAGCACTTCTTGTAGTGTTTCTGTCTACCCTTTTACTCGCAATGTCACATTTGACTGCTGCTTGCTTTCCCTGGATCTGTGAAGTGTCATGTTGGATGTTGTGCAATACACATACTTCGCTGTGTACTGTCCATCCAATTCACAGCCATTGTATTTCTTCAGGTTCCCTTGGGTCACTTGCAGTGGTGCAAATTCGTCACAACTCAACTGGCCAGCCGCCAGCCCAAACTAAGGTATTCCCTTCATTATGTAAACTTTGAGATAATCTATAAATTGTCATTTGCTTGTCCTGTCATGGTGCACTCTTATACTCTACTATATACGTATGTATAAAATATATAAAAGAAAACTGACCACCCTTTAACACTGATTTTTGTATTTCTAGACTAAGTTTGGCCCTCTGAATGATGATGACAGAATTTTCACCAATTTATATGGGCGTCACGACTGGCGCCTGAAAGGAGCCATGAAGCGGGGCGATTGGTATAAGACCAAGGAAATTTTGTTGAAGGGAACAGACTGGATTCTGAGTGAGTTAAATGTCATTGCAACTTCAGATGTTAGTTAGTCAACAGAATAATGGTTAACCCTTAAAATGTTTTAACAGATGAAGTTAAGACCTCTGGTCTTCGTGGCAGGGGCGGAGCCGGTTTCCCAACAGGAATGAAATGGGGCTTCATGAACAAGCCCTCTGACGGCAGGTATGTGGAGAAAAGTAGCTTTGTATGCTTTTGTAAACTGTAGCATGAATTGTTTTTTTTTTTGAGTAAATATTGCATTTATCTCATCTAGACCCAAGTACCTCGTGGTAAATGCTGATGAAGGTGAGCCTGGAACTTGCAAAGATCGGGAAATTATGAGGCATGACCCACACAAGCTCGTTGAGGGATGCCTGGTGGCTGGGCGAGCAATGGGTGCTAAGGCAGCTTACATTTACATTCGAGGAGAGTTTTACAATGAAGCATCTAACATGCAAATTGCAATCAGTGAGGTTGGTTTCTGAGGATTATTTGTTTTGTCGAAGTTGCCTCTTCTTTCATAGAGTTTACGATACAAATTAATATTTTTCAGGCCTACCAAGCTGGATTCCTAGGAAAGAATGCTTGTGGCTCTGGATATGATTTTGACGTCTTCATGCACCGTGGTGCAGGTGCCTACATCTGTGGTGAGGAGACTGCTCTCATTGAATCCATTGAAGGAAAGCAAGGCAAGCCCCGTTTGAAGCCTCCATTCCCTGCTGATGTTGGTGTGTTTGGCTGTCCAACAACTGTTTCCAATGTTGAAACTGTTGCAGTTGCTCCTGTAAGCTATTGAGCAGTTTTGAAAGTGATATAATTAGAAGTTTGAACAGTTGCACTAATTCTATGTTTTTTCATTTCAGGCTATTTGCAGGCGGGGCGGTGCATGGTTTGCTAGTTTTGGACGGTCTCGAAACTCAGGCACTAAACTTTTCAACATCTCAGGTCATGTCAACAGACCTTGTACTGTTGAGGAAGAAATGTCAATTCCCCTTAAAGAGCTCATCCAGATCCATGCTGGAGATGTTACTGGAGGATGGGACAACCTACTGGCTATCATTCCAGGTGGATCCTCAACTCCTCTCATTCCAAAGAAGTAAGTCTTAAAATTCTTGCTGAAAAAATATAATTGTATTCCTTTTTTATTGGTGTAATATTTTTACTTATTGTACATATCCCATTTACAGTGTTTGTGAGGACGTTCTTATGGATTTTGATGGTCTTGTAGCTGCACAGACTTCTTTGGGAACCGCAGCCATTATTGTAATGAACAAGCAAACTGATGTAATCAAGGCTATTGCTCGACTAATTGAATTTTACAAACACGAGTCATGTGGACAGTGCACACCATGTCGTGAGGGCATCAACTGGATGAACAAAATCATTCACCGGTTTGTCACTGGTAATGCCCAGCCTGGTGAGATTGACATGTTGTGGGAGCTGAGTAAGCAAATTGAAGGACATACGATTTGTGCTTTGGGTGATGGTGCCGCTTGGCCTGTTCAGGTAAGTTGGAATCACTTTCTGCTGCTATCTAAACATGGCAGAGAAATGAATTATTATTGTTTTACAAATCCTTTCTTTGCTCCAGGGTCTTATTCGGCACTTCAGGCCTGTGATTGAGGACCGCATGAAGCAATTTGAAGAGAAGAAAGCAGCCTCAGCCAGCAATTAAATTAAATTAATATGTTAGCACTCTTATTATCAAGAGAAATTAATGTTGCACTCGTATGTTTCTTTCTGATTTCCATCGCTACACCTGAAACATTGTACATATGCGCTTGTGTGATAAGGAAGATAATGAATCAAATAAGAGGACTAATTATTTTAAAGGAGTATTTATTGTATATACCTACTTTAAGTCTTTTCCTCCTTATGAATTGAAATTCTTCAAGATCAGATTGTGTCGAAAACAAGAATAAAAGAAATAGGTAAATAGTAAACTGTTCCTGTTTTAATTTAAAGAAAACAAACCCTTTTCCTACTGGTGGTAGCACTGACTTCATTGCGGCAGCGGCGGTGGTGATTGTGACGGCGGGAAATGTCTTGTCCTGTCCGTGATCGAGCGATTGACATTGACACTTGACACTTGCCGAAACCGTGAATTGTCACGTCTCGTACAAATTACGGGATAAACAGAAAGCGAATTATAGTTGCTGAAGTGCAGGGAAATCATTTGAACTATGGAAACCCACGTAAGTTAACTTCGCCGATTGACGTTTTGTGAAACATAACCTACACAAATGATTATTGTTTACATTTTTATTTCGGTAGATTTATGTGCCGACAGATGTTAGCTTTCTCGTCTACGTTAATTTGCAATATAATGGACATCATTCACGTCTAGATTTTGCCCTGCACAATTCCTGAGTATGTTTATTCTCAGCATGTAATTTTTGGAATGAATTGTTTTCAGAACGCAAGCCAGAATGATAATTCAGCTGCATCAACAGAAGATGAAGAAAACTTTCTGTCAATGTCAGACATTTATTATCTGTTGTTAGCTGATCTTAGTAAGTCAATTTCAAAGCCGTTACCCAATATTGACTTTGATAAGTTCAATTTTTTTTTCTATTTCTGTCTAGAACAATGCTCATAAATTAGTTTCCCTTCAGGTGATGTATCCGAACTTCTTGATGATGCAAGAATCCATGCAAATGAAAACGCCCCAAGAAAACCATGGGCAGCTACTGTCAAATTTTCTAGAGACAGAAGCCCTAACCATTGTGACGCACAAACATCATACAAGAAAAATGTCATGGAATCTATAAGGAAAAAGGCAGAACACATGAAACCTTTAGGTAGGATAATTTTATCCAATTTTAATAAATACTTTCTTGTTACCCTTTGGCAGCCACTGATGTTTTTTCTTTATTACAGGTGAGCCTCTATACTCTGCTCATGCACCCCTTGAGCTGAGAAGTAAGTTAGCAGAACGAGTGAAAGCGGATAGAGAAAATATCAAGCAAATGAGCACTCAGCTTACACAGCTTCAAGAGTCAAACAAAGAGTAAGTATCTTTTGCAAAGTGTTTGGTTCCCAGAACTGGTTGCAGCACTCCCCATGAAATTCTCCCAATTCTCCACATTTGACATTGTGGCTTATTATCTACAGACTCTTACGAAGAATGGAAGAACTGAAGAAGATAATTGCTGCTCGAACAACATCCGGAGAGATGAAAACAAAATTGAAATGGCAGGAGGTTGACCGGAAGATAAAGCTTGAAAGAGCAAAGCATGTGAAACAAATTGTGAGTGTGTTATGCCTTTTCTTTTTGTTGAATTACTGTCCAGTTAACTTTCATTTTGATCCTATAGAACTCTTTTTATTTTCTTCACTTTTAGCGTCATGTTACTGATGAGATATGTCCTGATTCAGATATGCCAAAAATCCTTTCGGTAAGCTACAAATAATAATGCACATCAATTTAAGCCTATACACTTGCTTTTACATCGAATTTTCAATTCCAGGATGCTCTTAAAAACTCGTTGTCTGGAAAAGATCCATATGTTACTGTAGATGATTTCTCTATAGAAGATGTTGAGTTCTTACTTAGATGTAATGTTCTCACAAGGCATCCTCATGATCGCAAACGTGTGAGACTCAGTGATTTGCTTTAATTTGGAACATTGAATAAGCATCTGCTTTATGACTCAATGAATTTTTAATATTTTTATTTATTTTTATAACTATTTTATATTACATAATAAAAAAGCACTTATTTTATACATTTGTACATGGTACTATTTACATGCCCAACTAATCCAGATTTATCACAAAGCTATCTCAAGAGTTACTAGAAGTTGTGCTATGACACGCCCGGTATTGGTCCTTCAAGGCACTTAGGCACTCTTGCAAATCAGGGAAAGATACCAGTAAAGCATCCTTCATTACCTTGTGAGAAAAGTACAATATTGATTGATTAAAAGTTGTTCCTAAACGAATTGAAATATGGTAGATTAAACAAAACAAAACCCAACTTACTTCATCAGATAACACAACATCAGACGACGTGTCAAGTGTTCGCATATGTTGAGCCAGTCCTAGCATTGTTGGATGATATTCCAAGCTAAATGCCAAATCAGGATCAAATGGTATAACTTGCTTTAATTCAGCATGCTTTGACAAGATATATCCTTGATCTGACTTGCTGAATGCCTGAAAGAAAATTTTACAAATGAACCTTTCCTGTTATTTTCTGCTTAAAAGCCTATGGAAAATACTTACTTTTTTATTTATAAGACAGTTGAAAACATCACAAGAGTACTTATTGAGCATTGCTATATTTTCGTTGCTCCTTGTGAGACCTGAGGTTTTATACCTGAATCCATAAAAAGAAAGCAGTTTTATAGTATTAACCACAAAAAAAGGTAAGGTGATCAATTTGATAAAATACATCAGGTGTGTTGGAATTGTACCTCAACAGCAGACCACAAGCTCTAGCCAAAGAACAGAAATCCAATGAAAACAAGCAGCGATAGAAAATAGCTGGAGGGATGACCGTTAGTTCATTTTTCAAATCAGACTCCAAATCCACTAACTGAAAAAATTAACATTGAAGAAAATATCTTATGATGCAATTGAATTATATACTCAATTCATCATCATATACAGTAACACAATACATCTTACAGTTTCAAAAAAGCTGAGAGCAGTATGAAGTATTGATGGGTCATTAGAGGTCTGTAAAAGACCTGATTCACACAGATGAGTAACAACTTGAACAAGTTGTGGTACAGTGGCATCATAGTCTGTTTCCCATGTAAACTTTTCTCCCAAAAACAAATGGTCTTTTTGTAGGTCATTTGCTGACCGGATAAACTAGAAGAGGAAATATTCTTTTAAAATATGGACAGAAGTAAATAACAGAGATGAGATAAGCAAATTTTGAAAGGCATACCATGTTGAAGATAAGTTCTGATAATGTATGTATAATAAGAGCTTTTTCCTCAGTACTGCCAGCAAGAAACAGAGTTTGCAAATGAGTGAGAATGCAGTCATTGAACTCTGCAAATATTGAAAGGCATTAGTTTTCAGGTTGCATGAGAAAAACCACAAAACTGATAATGAAGATTCACCTGCAAAGTTAACTAGTGTAATTCTTTCCAACAGCCTGTAGATATATTTTTGATGATCCTGCCCATCCCAAGACGATATGTAAAATGCCAGGAAGCGAGAAACAACAGGGATTCCCTGTTGCATGTAGTCTTCCAGAACAACAAGCTGTTGCAGAAAGTGTTCTCTTTCTTCATAAGGAACATTCTGGTTGTTAAGTATAAATACTAGGAAACAAAAGTTAAGTAAATGTTAACGGAAAGAACAAACACACTGATTGGATTTCTTTAACATATTAACGATAGATAGATACTCACCAGAATGAAGACATGCATAGAGAACTGAAGAGAAGCGAGAGTGAACATCGCTGTTGTGAGTGGCTAAAAAGTGAATGCCACCCTCATTCAGCAACAAAGATAAAATTGATGTAGGTATTTCACAACTAAAATGGTAACTTGCAAGAGACACTTTGCTGTAAAGCAAATTGAAGAAAAAAAAATAAAAATTGCAAAACTTTATTATAGATGAACATACTTTTAACTCTATACTTACTCTAAGAAATCTACAACTTTGTGCCGTTTTTCTCTGTACAGTTCAGATCCAAGATGAACATACATAGCATTGGGTATTAGTGGCATACCCACTTTGTTCTAGAATAGTAATAGGATGTTAGATAAATCGACACAAAGAAACTGAACTATTTTATTGGTTAGGAATGTTCTTCTTATTTTACCTTCTTAAATGTGACAGCAGTCCAATCTAAACCTGTACTTTTGGCTGGTAACTGATTATTATAGGATTGCATTCGTACGGTAGCAGCTTCTAGGCTACGCTGAAACCCTGGGGATATACTTTTGAAGGCTACTTCCCGGCTATATGATGGAGTATTTTCAGGAACCAGCTCAGGCTTGAATGTCTTGAACAACCTGAATCAAAGAAGAAAACTCAAATTTTAGAAAGTCTGTCAAGATGGACAACAAATGCGTTTAAAAAATCACTGTATCATAAATGGAGGAAACAGAAGAATTAACATACTCTAATAAGAGGGCAATGTGCTTTGCTTTTTTTCCACCTCTTCGATAAATAGAGAGAATTTCCTCTACTCTTCCTCGATAAACATCATCTGGTCTGGTGAGCATGTGTATTAGTTTACATGCATAACGTTGCTGCACAGAAAATTACAATATATAGCAAGTCTGAAGATAACAAGATCTGGGATGATTTACTTTACTTACACACTGCTCTCTTTGAAGTAATTTGTAGTACATTTCATAATACCCATCAACAAAGCTTCTGTCAATGAGATTGAACTCCAACAGGCCTTTAAAAGACAAAAATACGTAAGCAACTGGTCAGGTTTTGGAAAAGAGTGAGGCATAACTAATGTCAGAGATACACTAACCGGACACCCACTCCAACACTGCATTGATTTTGGATCCAACTACAGTTTCATTATTTGCGTTAAAAAGCATCCACAACAAAGGAATGTCTATTATATCGCTACTTAAAGGTTCTCCCGGAACGCAGCAAAATAAGAGATCACGAAAGCTTGATGACTCTGAAAGCAAAAGCGGTTCGAAAACGCAAATAACTTAAACTGACCAACCAGTATTGGTAGAATCAGTAAAAATAATTACTCACTGCAATGTGAGAGTTTTTCATCAGTAATAAAAGAGAGTAAGGAATGTATATCTTCATTTGATAAACCATTTTCAAGTTCCCGGCATTCTGTGAGAGCATTCTCATAAGTTACCCCAGATAATTTTCCTGGAAAAACCAAAGGACAAGACACCTGTTTGACACTCGGTATTACAAAGATACTTTCAAGACTATGTAACTGAATAATTTAACAGACCATGAAGGCTTTTCAAGGATTGGATAGTTCTTCTGAACCCAGACATGGTTAGGTAAGAACACTACATGCACTAAAATCAGGTAAAACGTGATTCGTTCATAAGACCAGGAAGTTTCCCGAGGCAATTTTGAAACTTAGTCACGTATGACACTAAATTTAAATCAAACATCAAAAACATTCAGCTGATTGAATGCATTTGTACAACAACCGGCCTTCAGTTTTCAAACATTCATTCAAACTGTTTTTGTTGTCTTGTTTACATCAGGGTGACCACGCTGCCGACTTCCAATGTACCAACACTAACGCACCCATATCCGGTAAAATCATGAATAAATCACCTATATTAACAAAATATAAAAAATAAGAAGGTCTTTCGTCAAGCGAGGTTTCGTTAGTGATGAGTTTTGAAACCAGGCACCTCTTGATATGTGGACGTTGGCAACGAAGCTCCGCGCTCTCGACTCGACGTCCTCTGCATTTCCGCTTCCGCTCAAGCCATCAAAGTCTGCGTCGCCATTCAAAAGGTCGCGGCGCAAGAGCCCTTAGTAATAATAAAAGATCATTTCGAGCCTTTCGCCTCTACTCGAACCTCTCTTTTGGTTTTCTATATCAGTCGAGACTCTTAAGTATCTAATTCTATTCCCTCGACGTCCTGCAATGCCGCGTCGCCCCCCCCCCACTTCCTGCTCCCCTCCCCTCTACAGACGTCTTCCTCCAGGACCCCCCCCCCCCTCACGTCCAGGAACAAAACCCCCCCCCCCCCCGCCGCTGCTCCTGAACGTGTTCGCGATACTCGGACTGACTCGGCGTGTCGGCGTGTCGGCGTGTCTGGTTCAAACGCTCCCGGGGACTCGCGCCGCGCCGAGCAGAGCGCCTGGAGCCGTGTGGTTGTTGTCGCCGGGCACGCGCACTACGCGCGCTCGTGTCGTGCCGCGTGTTGTGTTGAGTGTTTCCTCGAAGCCCTTCAGACTTTGTTGTGTTTCGCCGCGAGGAACAGCAGCCGCCGTGTAGCAACAACGACAACATCAACATCACCATCATCATGAGGAGGGTGAGTACGTCGCGTCGCGGTCGCGCTTTTCAAAACAAACGTGTGTCGCGGTAAAGGAATTCGCAGAAAATTGCGGATTGACTTCATACCAGCCCCACCCGCGGTTCTGGTAAAGGTATTGGGGGTGGACTTTCATTGAACTGAGCTTGGGGCGCTGTCGTTCAAACGGAAACACAACCGTGCCCATACATTTGTAGATGGAAAACCCTTAGTAATTATTCTCGAAACTTCAATTTTTTGTCATCTTGAAAATCGGCAACAATAAGAAAACGCGTCAGCCCGAGAGGGTGGCGTGACATAGGTTAGGTGACATTGACATAGGTCGGTAACACAATGCCATCGTTCTTGGGCATTAATGAGTGGTTTTTGGAACAAAACCGTCACCTTTTCAGGGGTGACGGATTTTTGTTACGGCCGGTTTCGAGATGTCATCAAGACTTCAGAATTCAATGTGAGGGTGATGTTACACCAGCTTCTTAGCAACAACTCATTCCGGTAATGCTGAGATGCAAAGAATGCGGGGAAGAAGAAAACGGAACTCTCTATACTTTAACTTAGTGACTTCCGTTTTCATGTTCCCTCCACTCCTCTACATTTCAGCTTCACCGGAATGCTTCATGAAATGACTTATATTTTTCCTACGTTTTTCCTCATTAGAGAGTTGGGGTTGGGAATGAATTTTTAAAAAGAGGTATAAGGTATCATTAGAATGTACTGATTTTATAATCGTAGTATGGATTTTCTGAAATGCCAGGGCGACCCTTGGTGACCCCCGGAGGGAGAGGGGGGGGAGGGGGGTCATGGAGATCATGAGGCTTGAGGCTCCTCGCGGAAAGGTCCAACAAAACTGCACCCACTTCTCCCCTCCTTCCCCCTTTCGCCCACACCCATTCTCCCTCCCCGTCTTCCTATGAACCCCCGCTCGCTCTCCCAGAGTCTTTTACGGTCTCAGACACCTAACGGCTGCGGCAGCCCCTGAGCAGGCGTGCTCACGGCCGTCCATCAACATCGTCGATCGTAGTGTGTTTCGACCGCGTTTGACCGCACACAACACAACCAGGAGTTAGTGGCCGAGGAGTGTACGGACGAACACACCCGCGCCGCCACGCCGCCACCACCACGGTCCGCGGCGGTCGGCGAGTCTAATAACCGGCCATAAAAATGGGCAGAGTCGGCTCAATAGACAAGACCGCACTACTACTCGCGTCCATTGAGGTCTAGGTCAGGGTCACTGCTTCAGTGCGCACCCCGGTGGGCTGCCGGGCCGGCCGGGCCCCTCCGACCGAGGAGGTGCTCGTTTAACGGAGCTCCATGTGACCGCAATGCGAGAGAGAAAGACACATGAACAACATCACACCTCATTCTCCACATTTTTATTTTCCTTCCGTTCGGAACGAGGAGCTCCTTGACGACTGGACCGTAACGTCCTGTGATGGCAGTGCTGGTGCGGCGGCGGGGCGGAGGTCTACGGTATGCTGCTACTTGACTTACACACACGCGCCGAATAAACAGCGTCGTGAGAAAAACTAAACGCCAAGGCTGCTGTACCGAGATACGCCCCCCCCCGCCCCTCCCGTCTGCGGCTCCCCGCTGATGACTGACCACTCCGCTGCTCCTCCGGCCCCACGAGACGTAACTCGGGTGGCGGGCCGGGCGAGTTGAGGCGTTTCTGTTGCACCGCGAGGCGCCGTCAACACTCCTCCTCCTAACGTACTTGGGGGGGACTGGCCGGAGCGAGGACCCCTCTCTTTCTCTTTCTCTACGGTGCCGCCTGATGTGCATGGAGGCTCCGCTGCACACTCGGGAACCATACTACTGACCGCAGATTTTTTGCCAAACGTTCATCCTCTTCGCACCACCGGTTTTCATTTTCACGATTACCCTCTCGCTTCGTCTGTTTTCTTTTTTGTTTTTATAATGCCCGCTGCACCCATAACAAGTGCGCGGGTGAAATAGAGGTCAGGCTGGGCAAGGGAGATTTGAGTTGCTTCCTCTGGGACACCACCTGGTCAGAAAGAAGGGGGGGGGGGGCTCCCACAGGAAAGGGCGAGGCTGCATTATAGCTCTGTAAGAAATGTTGGGAATTCTACCATACGCTTGTATAGGAAATTTTCCCCCCGGGAATGAGCAACCCGGCGAAGTGTGAGTGTGCTCCCGGATATACTCGACAGGACGGCTCGATAGTAACAAACTCACTGTGTAGATGGACTGTGCCGGACGCAGGCGTGCGTGCGGGTTGCCCACCCAACCCACTCGGGGTGCGCGAGGAGGCTGTGGTGGCACGGCCAGTGACGGTGCGCGTACGCGGTGCGTGCACTTGTGACTCCGTCGAGTGCATATCGCCCAGCCAGCAGCCACCTTAATCGCCATCGCCAGGCACGCAAGTGGCGTGCGTACGCAAGTGCGTGCGTGAGTACGTATAAGTACAGTACCGCGAGCTGCAGTGCGTGTTTGCAGGACACTCTGCCCTTGCCTCGCGCCCGGTGCCCCGGTGGTACTGCCGAGAGGCATGGACGGGTTCCTTGCCCCTTGTCAACACTGGCTGGCCTACTGTCGCCCTCATGCAGCCCAACGCGGGGACCTCTCCCCTATGAAGACCGCTGCTCCCCGGCGGGTCGGTCGTCGCCGCGCCTGCTGGAGTCTTACTTATGGGTCTTGCGGCATATGTGCTGGAGCTGGAGGACGACTAGAGGGTCTCCTGCGGGTCCTAGTGGACGATCTCCAGTCTGGTGGGTCTTGCGAATCCTACTCGAGGATGTCCTCTGGGTCCTGCGGGTCCTGCGCGTCCTCTGGGTCCTGCGGGTCCTGCGGGTCCTGCGGGTCCTGCGGGTCCTGCGGGTCCTGCGGGTCCTGCTGGAGGATGCGGCTCCCGCTCGCTTCCTGGGCCGGGCCGGCGGCGGCGGCGCTGGGAGCCGCACATCCATGCCAAGGCTGGGTCCTGAGGAGGAGGAGGAGGGTCCCGTGCGCAGAACCACTCAATCCGCCGCGCGCCGCGCATCTGGCTTGCAAATAGAATATAATGATAATGATAACGTGAGTGATTGATAGTGGGAAATGAAAAAGGCAGTAGGATGGGATGGAGGATAGAATAGGCGACTGTGCGCTCCACCGCGGCCTTAGAGATGTCTATCGGCTTGCTAGACACTCTTGTAGCGGCTCTATCGAGCTCATAGATCAGCTGATGCCGTGGACGGTCCCATCACCTCCGGCTCGCACCTCTGCCTGGCTGACATTTGAACCACCCGCGCGAAGGACGGCACCGTCGTCGTCGTCGCCGGGAGAGCTCATTGGTGAGGAGGACGCCGTCGAGAGAGTTGGCGACGGTACGAAACTCCTCTACCAGCTGGAGGAGACCGCGAGTACGGATTTTACTTTTCCCAGAAAGTACTTTGGAAAATTTTTCTAGACACAATTCCATTTTTTTCTTAAAAACTTCCATTTTTTCAATTTTTACTGGAAAAATTTTAATTTTTTCAAAAAATTTCTGGAATTATGTTTTTCAATTTTTTCCAAAAAAAAAAATTCACAAGTTTCCAATCTTTCCGGGAAAGCTTTGGACTCGCCGCTCGGGCCGCGCACCTGGCGCGCTATGCCATATGCGCAATTAGCTCGTAATGGCACGCTAGGCCGTGCGGCTGGACGGCGCCCGGGACGCGTCCGGGACGCCCCCCGCGGCGGCGGCGCTCACCTGCTCCTTCAGGGGCACGACCGCTTCGGACGCAGCCAAAGTCAATACCCCCCCGGCTCCGGCTGGACTTGCACACAAACGCATACTACACACTGTCACACACATGCAGAGCCGTAGTGACAGCCTCGGCTCTCCCATTTTTGGCGGTCACCGACCGGCGGCGGACGCACACCGCACGCTGGTAAAGGAGAGCACGCTTCAGCAGCGTCTCCGCCGTTCTCCGTCTCTTTGGCGCGTCCGCCAGGTAAGGAGCGCGCCCCGCCTGACATATATACCATTTTCTCACCTGCGACAGCCGCGCCCCGCCCGGGTGGGTCAGGTCAGGCGGTCGCCCGAAATCCATTCGACTTTGAAATGAACGCGCCTTTATAGGCGCGGCCTCCGCGAGCGGCACTGGCGGCGAACAATGGCAGCCCCCCTCCGGTACCCTCAGGTCCGCGAGGTGCGGCCCGCGTCCTCGAGGCGGCCGTCAGAGTACGACAGATCGGCGACCCTCTCATATTAAACTCTCGGTTATTGGCTCCGCAGGTCGCGCTGCTCGCCGTCCTGGTGGGGGCCGTGGTGGTGCGCGCCCAGGACCAGACGACGCCCAAGCAGCAGCTCTCCTGGAAGGAGCGCGCCAAGCTCGACTACCAGAAGCGCTACGAGAAGTACATCCTGCACCGGCAGAACGCCCTGTCCGACGAGGAGAACACCATCGCCGGCGGCAGCGGCGCGGACAGCAACGCCATCCCGGAGATAGGGGTGCGCGGCGCGCCGCCGCCGCCGCCACCGCCACCCGTGTTCAGGCCGCCGCCGACGACGACGACGACCCGCAGGCCGCCGACAACCACCTTCCGCCCGCCCCCGCCCCCGTCCACGACGGCCTTCCGGCCGCCTCCACCCCCGTCGACGACCACCTTCCGGCCTCCTCCGCCCCCGTCGACGACCACCTTCCGACCGCCGCCGCCGCCTTCAACCACCCAGTACCGACCGCCGCCGCCGCCGCCCACCACCCGAGCTCCTCGTCCGCCTCCGCCGACAACGACGACCACCCCTCGGCCGCCACCGCCGCCCCCACGACCTGCTCCTCCGCGTCGCGTCGTGCAGACGACGGAGGCGCCCGTGGTGATCGGCGTGCGGGGCGGCTTCCCCGGCGCGGAGTCCGCCCCCGCGCCGGCCGCGCCCGCCGTCGAGCAGCAGGGCCAGCAGGGCCAGCAGGGCCAGCAGGGCCAGCAGAGCACGGTGTCCGGGACCTTCCAGTCCCGGCCGGGCGCCTTCCCCGCCTCCCCCAGCGGCGGCGGCTTCGCGAGCAGCAGCGCGACGGCCTTCAGCAGCGGCGGCGTGTCGGGCGGCTCGAGCGGCAGCAGCGCCGGCACCTACAACGCCGGCGGCGTGGCGACGGGCACCTTCTCGTTCACGACGGGCGGCAGCAGCAGCGCGTCGGGGAGCTCGACGGGCACGGGCGCCGTCAGCAAGTCGCCCGTCGCGCTCCTGGGCAAGGTGGTGCAGGGCATCGTGCGGCCCATCACGTCCATCCTGCCCGCACCGCTCGGCCCCAAGGGCTCCAACCCGGGGCTCGTCGGCGGCCTCGTCAGCGGCATCTTCGAGGAGCTCGACGGCGGCCTCCGCGCCATCTACCCGGGTGAGTCCACGACGACGACCGTCTGACTTAGACGACGACACGGACCGACTGTCAAGTGGTGCAGTATAGCGTTCGGCGTTTAGTCCCCCGACTTCGGCCAGCCGACGAACGTCAAGTACACGACGGACGTACAGCCCGACGTACACATCCCCGCCTGTGCCCTCCATTCATCGGGTGACATTAGTCTGTGTGTGTGTGTGTGTGTGTGTGTGTGTGTGTGTGTGTGTGTGTGATTAGCACGTGCGTCGGCGTGCTAATGCGTGCGCCGTCGTGACCCTCCTGCAGACCTTGCCGATGCACACAGGGCAGGGCGCGCCGTGTGTGACATCTGATCGTGGTTATTGTCTCGGCTCGGCGGCGCTCGGCGCGTGCGATAGGCCGAGGTAGGGGGGCATTTCATTACCACCTCCACCACCATCGCCGCCGCCACCGAGCTAAGCCCGAGGCGCTCGCAGCCTTCGCGCTTCCGGAGCACGCCGCCGCCGACATTTACGAACGACCGCGCGACCTCCCCCACGCGCCAGGATGATCTGCTTTTATTTTATTTTACAAAAAAAATCGTTCGTTATTGCGAGTGAAAAAAAAGGACACTACTTCACTGCTGAGAATAAACGTAGTATATTCGTCATTTCGAAGGCAATTTTATTATTTTACACGTTAGTTAGAACAGATCGTCTAGAAAGTACGTCAGCTTTTCTCAGGTTCATTCGGCACTTTGAAGGAAGCCGGACGCCTGCGAGACTCGGGGTAGGCCACCCCGCAGTACACGCATGCACTGCACGCAGATATGTTGCCTGCCTACCAGGCGCCGTGGAAACCAGCATAGGCTCTTGAACTTGGCGGTTTCGTCACAGCGAATGGCAGTCGTACTCTCTGGATGATGCCTAATGATAAAGTCGTTGCAAAGTGACTAGTTTTTGTTTGTTAAACTCTGGTGCTTGGCAGCTGCGCTGCTCCGTCTGCGTCTGCTCAGTGTTGCTGGAGCGGTAGCTCGCCTACCTGCTACCAAAGGGTCCATGCGACAGGGAGGGTGGGACCCGAGCAGGTCAATGAGTTGCTGAGGAGGTAGTAGTTAAGAGCTGCTCCCATAAGCCGGGCTCTTTCCTAGTTTGGTCGCACCATATAGGACCCCTTTGTGCAGAACGCCCCGCCGGCCGATGCTCACCTGTTCGTGGCGGGGCGGGGCGGGGCGGGGCGGGGCGGGGCGGGGCGGGGCGGCGCCACTTTTACGTGTTTGCGGCACGCCTCCTCGATAAAGCACTTTAAACGGCTGGGTGGCACGCGAGCGCACCCGGTGACGCGCTCCCAGGCTGCGTCCGGGACGGTCCGGGAGAGGGTGTTTGCGCGCGGGCCGTACGGTACCGGGGCAGCTCGGTGTTGTTTTGTGTGTTTCTGGACGCCCTCCTCGGCAGCGGCGGGAGTTACGAATGGCAGTACTACTCTCTGATTAGGTCCTGCCCTGCCGGTCTCTGCCCGGCTGCTTGACCGACCGGATTAGTTTTGTTTTAAAAGGACTAAGCGGGAGGAGGCCAGCCGTAGCCAGCCAGCTCCTCCTACACCAGGGACTTGTGTGTGTGTGTAGGTGGTGCAAGTAACACACTACGGAAGCAAACCTAACAATTTAGTTTTTGTAGCTTTTTTTGTACTTTTTTACTTGTTTTGTATATTTTGTATTGTCGTTTGTTTGCATTTGGCGCGGGCACGCGGGTTTATTTCGTGATCACAAGAGAGAAGAGGGACACGCACACGCACAACACTTCGACAATCTAAATTTTCACACCCCTAGAATATTTTTTTTTGTGTGTGTGTGTCCATGGCAAGCGGACAGACAACATGCCGACGGACGGAGGGGGCTGGCAAATTGATGAACAGCAGACTATACAGAGTCACATACCGAACGAGCGGGTCGCGGGCGGGTCGGATACAATGAAGCATCGGGTTGGTGCGGTGCGTATGCGCACAACACACGTATGCCACACATTCACACATTCACACACAAACACACAGAAGAGGGCTGGGGGCTGGGGCACAACCAAATGGTGCGTATCGTGCATGCAAATCCGTTACACGGTGGTGGGCCTTTGTCGATTGAAATGACATTGTGATTGGTATAAACGGCTCATCCCTCTCGACGGGAACACACGGGGGTCGTGTGAGCAGGTGCTCGTGATTGAGGGTGTGTGCGCGCGCGCGCGAATTCGTCAGATCTCTTTTGGCCGAGCTATTGCCTTATACGCTCTCCCGGTGCAACTAGAATGTCCCAACTATTTTTCTCCGACCTGGTGACTTTTACAAAGTCCCAAAAAAGTGCTGTCCGACCTGGCTTTTGTCCGACCTAATTTTCTCCGACCTCGTCGATATGGTAAAATTTGAGGAGAATGTGCTTCAAAGAGGAATAGGCTTCAAAAATAAAAATGGGGGAATACTTTCCTCATCCCACCGCAGTAGTTAGCGAACTGTGGTC